GACGACAGTGGCCGTCGCGTCCGGCTCTACCAGTGGCTCACCCGCCTCCCCTCGCGTGTGTGATACCGCGCTCGCCGCGTGCGCCCTCCCGACCGCGCTGCATCCCTTGCCGACCCGCCTGCGCACGGCCCTCTCACCGCGCACTCTCTGCCTCGACAACCCCGACGGCGCGCTCGCGGGCACCCCCACGCCGCCACCGAGGACACTGCCGGCGAGCTACGAGTGCGCATGGCCGAGTCCTTTGCGTTTGGGGGCCCAAGTCCACTCCCCAGACACTGCTAACGCCCACTCGTGGATGCCAAAAGTGGCCGCGTCCGTTTGCGATGTGCCACGCGTCTGCGTCATTGCCCGGTGATGTCCAAGCAATGCTTGGACATCGTCATGTGGCCTGTCTTGCGTGCAAAGCGGGGTCCGCGTGAACCAGGACCACCTTGCGCGGCCAACTCATCTCGTGCACGCAAAGCGCATGCACTTCTTCCGATACGGTCCCCTCGCAGGCTGTCATTGTCTGCTAGCTGTGAGTGCATATTCCTTTTTCACAGTCTTTCTTCCTGCATTTGTATCCGCATAAGCTTCTCCTATGGCCCATGTCATATGTAGATTAGTTTCATACCCCCAAATATACTACTGTGTTGCCCCTCTCCCTTTCATGCAGAGTGCCACGACAGCTACCCCTTCCTGTTGCCACCACGCCCACCCTGGTGTGCAGCTCACAGATGGTTGGCCCCACCAAAACTGCCCCCCTGCCGCTGTCATGGCCATGGACGGTAAGCTCTAGCATACTGGCAGTCACCGCTATTAGTCCAGCTCAACTCATGCCCTCACTGATAGTGCTTTGATAGGATGATGGCCTACACTAACACCACCGGTATATGCCATGTGCGCCAATGAGGAACCGGCAGAGGTGCGCAAGGAATGCTGCTCATGTCAAACTACACACTACTGCTGTGCTCACAGAGTGTGTGTCCTGGGCAAGCTAACTGACTGTGTCCGTCGTCCCTGTGGTACATGTTGCACTTGTCCATCACACCTCTGCTGCTTAGCTCATTGTTGCGCCCGTGTCATGCCATTTGACGCGTCTGACACGCCTGCACACAACAACGACAGCGGCCCTTGTTCGCCTGCGCATGGCAGGTGCTGTAGCCTCTTCGAGGATCCGCCACCACTGATTGCCTGAACCAGGTGCCGCCGCCTGTGCTGGACTGTGCAGGAGCTGCTGTGCGTCCCCTGTGAGCTGGGCAAGCTGACTGACGTTGTCCCTGCGGTGCGTGCTGCACCTGATCAATCGGCCATGGCGACGCAGAACAATTTGAGGACAGACCATCTGCCCCGCATGCGCTCGCATCGCGCACTCACCCACCACTGGTAGGATGTTTCCTGTTATGCTCTGTATACACGCCCGCAAAGCGCATCGCCTGGCATACAACGCCCGCTGCCCTGCTGCTTCCTTTCTTGTTTGTATCGTGATCCGCATGCTCTACATTGGGGTGCACGGCCTGCAATCGATTTCTACTTAATCTCGACCCTTGCAGTTTGCCCATGCATGTCCCCCACTCATGGCACCAGACCCCAAAGGCCATCCTGACCCTCTCCGTGGCCTCCCCCCAAATGGTATGCATCCACATCATGTATGCGCACACAAGGACTGATGGATGTACTAGCATCTGGTCTCGCACATGCTCTCCGCCAGGTGGGCCAGACAAACGTGCACGACCTCCGCAATACTATTCAAACAGTAGATCCGCTGTCATCGGTAGGTCCTGCTGTCCAGCGCCACTCGTCAATGCGGACACCAGGGCTCTACTCTGTGAATCCTCCCCCTGCACCACTGGAGGCGTCAACCTCTGGACGCGCACTGCCCGAGGCCCAGGCATCAACCTCTGGACGTGCTCCCTCGCCTGAACCAGAGGTGTCCGTCCGCCCTCTCTTCCGCCCGGCAGCAATGTTCCCCGCCCTTTCCAAAGACCCCAAGCAGACAAAACTTGCCAGCCGTCTCAAACATGCTAAACAGGCCGACCCTGAACATTTCGCACTCGTGCAAGCTCAAATCTACGAGCAATGCCAGCGCATCCTTGACCGGTCCAATCCCTTCACCCGGAAGCACCGAGAAGAGATCCTTGCGAGTTGGAATAATATCGTTGGCGAGGCTCACCCCGGCCGCTCAGACAAGGAGCTCTGGACGACCGAAATCGTTGAGAAATGGGCACGCCCATATCTTCGCACACGGGTAAGCCTAGTCCCCCTATGCTTGGTGGCCACACTCATCAGCCATCTAGGTGCAATTCACTCCAGGTCAAGGAGGGGCAGCGCATGTGCGCGCGGTGACACTCCGCAACTGGACGACAACTCTCGTCAACTGTATCCTCAAGTATACCCATGATCCCAAGACGTCCGAAAGCACAGGCCTCTATGTACTCGTCCACCAGGGCTTGTTTCAGGCACTCGAGGATGAGGTCAGCCAGTGTGAGTGCTTCCTTGTCCCCTCAGGCTCACACATACTCACTGTGACACACAGTGGTGGAGGACTACAAGCTCAATCGGTATCAAAAAAAAAAGCTCTATTACGGCCGCGCAGAGACCCAGCTCCTCATCGAAGCCGCTATGGATGAAGCCTCGGGAAGGAGCAGGATCGTTGGCATGCAGCACGTCTGCTGCATGCTCTCAGGCTTTTTCTTTGCAGTGCGCCCCGGAAGCATAGGAGTGTCCTGCCAGGAGTACGCGAATCGCGAGTTTGTGCGTTCTACACACCTGTGATGGTCTAACCTGTCGCTGACCTTGAAGATTGTAGTTTGCAAAGACGGGCGATGTTGAGATCATCAAGATCGGGCCCTTCAAGTTTGAGGTTCGCATTACCATTGGCAATTTCAAGGTACGCTCGGGCTACCATCTGTGCGGCACATTCACTGAAGACAGCGTACAGGGTCATAACGATGTAACAGCAAAACAGCACACCTTTATCATCACAGGTGTCTTCAAGTCGCACAATGCCCTTTTCGATGCCACGCTCTGGTGGGTGTTGTACCTCATGGAGAGAGGTGTCCTTCCAGTCAAGGTAGACTCTGCTTCTGCTCTCCTGCCCTGAACATGATCTTCTCACACTGAGCTGGTAGACTATAGACGAGCTGATTGCATACAAGGGAGCTACCATCCCCATCGTGTTGAAGGACGAACCCCTGTGCGGCACCATCCAATCATTGTTTGCTTGGGCACTGACCTTTCGTCTCAGACTTCTCAAAGTGCTTCCCGGCGGCAAGGGACTCATGGCAGGCATTCCGATGACAGCAGGCGGAATCTCGCATGGAATTCGTGGCCTCAGCGAAGCAGCTGGGCTTCCGGGTGGAAGCATGGGATGCTTCCGTCGGGACACGGGCAACGATGTATGTGTTGTCCAAGGCCCCACGACGTTGCTGACCTCGTGTACAGTTTGGGATCAAACTGGGCAAAGATGTTGGTGCAATGATCTTGGCCCATCGCGAGCAGAACACGACCTTCAACGGTTTCTACGATCGCAACACTGCAAATTTCCCGCTCGTGGGTACGCGCCTCAACGAGTTTGATTCCTTCAATGCGCCCGAGACAAAGGTGTGCATACATGTCCTCACCGCTAAAGCCATATGCTGACGTGCATTTGCCCCAGGCATCGCTCAAGTTGCATGAATACACATCCGCTGCGGTTGCGGCACTCGTCAATCGCAAACACTTCAGAGCTATACTTGTATCCCAGCAGGGCACACCGAATGAGGCAGCGGGTGTTGCACCCCCAGAGCCGCTGGCAGTACTCACAGAAGCCGAAATCACAGAGGCAGAGGTGAGCACACCTTCCACCATGCATTGGAGATTATACTCATGCTTGACCAGAACATCCCTGAGTTCATTGCTGTTTGTGCAGAAATGAGCCACGCATGGGAGGATCTAGCCAACTGCTTTGCGGTCAAGCACAAGGAGTCCATCAAGCCATACAAGCCTTGTCTTGAAAACATTTCGAAGCTGGAGCGGCACAAGGTCATCAACCCCAATGTGG